GCAGTGGTGTTAATATGTGCGTAATTTTCAGCTATTGCGAAACTGGCGATCTGACCTTTCTAATCTCATTATAACTGTCAAATTTATTAAACACCGGTTTTTTTTTAAATTGTTGATATTTAAAAGTATATGGTTTCCTTATACTTATTTTATTAGTACTGCTGTTTGAATTACCCGGTACCATTACCCGAAATCTGGCCCCATCTGTATTTACTAACAGTCAGTGAAGCAAATCTATAAGTGCCTAATATTTTTTGAAACGGAAAACTACGTGCCAAAATAATTTTTGAGATGCGATTTTTCTATTTCTTTTTTGTATATTTTGAAGGATTTTCACCAAACCCTCAGACAGTATTCGAACACATTTGATAAACAAAAAAAAAAGGAAATAAAGAAAATAAAGTAAAAGTTTTGCAGAATAGCTGCTTATGTTGTATCTTGTCAGTGACAGCATACCCAATGATGTTTTGGTGATTCTCCCATGTTAAATGGCCAATTCTGTCAAGTGAAACAATGACTAATGAGTTACTGTTGCTGTACGATAATCCAGGTATGTGGTGGCAGATGCGCGCACATCCCGGTGGGGACGTTGTGGTATACGTTGGGCTTAACGTCAGGTAATGTACGCAAGCGTGGATATTGGAACAACTGTTCGCCCTCATAGGTAACGGGCCTCTCTCATATGCGTCATTGCGCTTGCGTAAAAAGCAAACCATCCTTACACCACGATTTCATTTTTACCCCTAGTTCCTGTTACACAATTCTTCCCCAATCCCACTGCGCTGTGCGAGATCTTGAGCCAAGAATTCGAAATTCAGAGTTATTGAAATGTTTTAACATATTTAAAAAAGAGAAATAAATTAATTACAATTGGACTCTGCTCTTTGACTTCTTGGTTCAACTATTAGTATCACCGATTCCAGTGATGAAAAACAAAAAATTGCAGAAGTAAGTGAGCTGGGACACCTTTGCACCAACACAAAACGTGTGAACATGTTAAGAAGTTCGAAACGTTGAAGGTGCAGGGAGTGTGTGCGTGGCGGCGCTGTGCGACCTACCTATATATATATATATATTACTCTTTCTCTCTGTCTCTTTTCTTTTTGTATTTTATTTCGTACCCGTTTGAGAGGTCCCGAAATATAAAATAAGCGGGAATAACATTTCCAAGACGCATTGCGCCCGGACTCTGCACACTAACAGTTGCTTCTGCCTAGGCTTGCTACTTAAAAGCAATAGAGACTAGACCGGATTTCGCGGTCGCATGGAGCAACCTTGGGTGTGTGTTCAACGCCCAAGGCGAAATATGGTTGGCTATACATCACTTCGAAAAAGCTGTTGCCCTGGATCCAAACTTCCTCGATGCCTACATTAATCTGGGGAACGTACTCAAAGAAGCCAGGATCTTTGATCGGTGAGTGATTATTGCATGTTTTACTTCTCTTCCAAACTCTTCTTGAAAATTATTTGACAACTTACTATTTACAATTCGAAAATTGGAATCGTATTGCACATTCAGTTTTGTTAAGAATTTGCATAGAAGAAGTCTGATTAATTGCTAATATAATTACAATTTGTGCAACGTTTCGGCCTTTTCAACTACCTGCTCATGACAAACTTGTACATGTAGCACATGGCTTGAACGCAAAAGTTTTATGGTATATGTAGATGTGTTATGGTGCATTTCCTATTATGGTATGTACTCATTGTGGTTGCATTTGTTCTCCGAAGATACTGACGCAACATAAGAAACGCACAGTTTTCGCCAAGACTAATAAATTTTGATAATTAGTGTTAAGGAGGTTAACACTATGGGGTGCGAGGCAGGTGGTGCAACGACAGTTCAAGTATAATGTTCAGAATTATATCTCTTTTAGTTGAAAATACTCGGTGATGATACTTGTCGATTATGCTATACTTGTTAACAACGTTGTATTCTCCTTTTCATTTGTACAAATCTCTTTTTCGCTTGCACTCACTTGTAATCTAATCATCTTGAAAATATGTAGATGTTTTTGAACGTAAATGAATTATGAAGTTGTTGCTCAAGTTTTTATCAAGTTATCTCTGTCACAATACTTTGAAAAGTCCTGTTATATCTCTAAATTATGCATTTTACATAAGAATGCATGTTAATTTGTTTATAACTATTCTCTTAATGACTTTGAAATTTTACAACAATTTTTTTTAAATATAAATGCCTGGGTACCTCCGCAATGTTTAACCAAAATATCTCGGTTATTTTCCCATGGTGTTAACCTTCTTAAATAAATTAGCAACTTCCAAGAATAGATCACTTCAGTGTCATGTTTATATTAGCTGTAGTCTAGGTAGTTTACTTTTAATACATCAAGGACACCTGTAGTGGATACCAACAGGTAGGTTTATGAGGCATTGTCATGCATCAGGTGTCCAGTTGTACATTTGCGGCTTCTGAATTTTTTGTGACCTATAGACTTTCTTTTACTGTCAGTCCATATCGATTAGAATTGACATGAATTTTATTCACTAAGCTAGTTGTTTTAATTAAAAACCCTTTGAGGTAAGATAATTGTCTTGGGCGTTTCTTGAGGACTTATTAGCCATCAAAAAGTCAATATTATAGAAGCAAAAGAGTCTATAAAAAGTATGGCCCTCTTTTATTCCAAAAACAATTGTCTAAACTTTGCAGAAAAAGTATGGCGTTGATCCTGGTTTTGAAAAGTTTTTTTCAGTGTAATATCGCTTCTGGTAATTCGGTGTTTACGTGAAGTTCACTTCATTATGTATATAAATAATGTTATACGTATCTAGGGTTCTAGCCTAGCTAGGTTGGTAAAGGAAGGAATCCTTTGACGTGTTAGATGTGTTAACATGCCAATATTTGGTCATAGGGTCCTAAATATAGGATATGGTAAACGCCCTGCCTTCGGAGTTGGTGTTGATAAAATAAAATGTGCTACATATAAACACCACCGGCAAAGGTGCCATCCGTTCAATTTATATTGTTTGTTTTATATGTTTCGTAAAATTTTCCATCCTGGATTATCTGACTCCATAATATCAAAAAATCGGCGACTTCCATTTTTTATCTCGTACTTTTATTAGTTCATTTTATAATTACCTACATACTTATATCCTTGATAAATGATTCATGAACAGTCTCAATTTAATTGCTGTTTTTAATACGAAAAGACTTATTGTTATTTTAGTTAATGGCGTACTTGTAGATACGGTTATTTTCAAAATTTATTACATTCAGTTGCAATTAAATGAAACGATTTGACGATAAGAAAACATTAGATTACGAACAGTTGCCAATAAATTCGTGTCATCACTTCGAGGAACAAAAGGTTGAGAGGAAATTTTATTTTCGACGTCGTTAGCTACTTTATGTTTAATGATCATTAACATAAGTAGTTAAAAGAAAGCCATTGTAGTACCTTCACGAAGAACGTAGCGTTAAAATTAAAAAAAGGTCTATTAAGGTGATACTTTGCTTTATACTTACATCTTTTGTATTACAAATTTTATACAGAATAGAGTAGGTAATTAATCAATCCTGGTTAATGCATATTTTCAACCAATTTTTACATTGTTTGAAATATTTGAAATTAATATAAACTGAAGCAACCCGCACTCAAATAAAACCATCCGAGAGCGACATANAAATATTATATATTTAAAAGAATTTAGTCTTCATAAACCCAAGATTCAATGGCTGGTTTCCATTGGATTAGTTCCTTTTCTGTGAACCATAAGGCAATTTCTCTGTTGGCTGTTTCTACTGCATCAGAACCATGAATAATATTTCTTCCAACTTGAATACACAGGTCTCCTCTGATTGTTCCTGGTGCACTGTCTGCAGGATTAGTAGCACCAAGCATTTGGCGGCCAGTCTTCACAACATTTAATCCTTCCCAAACCATAGGCACAACTGGCCCACTGTTCATGTAATTAATTAGGCCAGGGAAGAATGGTTTCCCTGCTAGTTCAGCATAATGTTGCTTTAGAAGGTCCTCAGAAGCCTGTAATTAATGAAAATTTAGTCACAAATTACTTTTGTAGACTGCAAGAGAAACATATGCCTAACTATTAGGTACTTTAAAGAAAAAACAAGAAGATAATCATAAAAAATAAAAATACTTTGTAAATTACTTGAATTAAAGTGCCATATTACTTAATCATATTGTACTGAAATGAATAAGTTATGTATCACTGTTTCATTCTGTTCTTACAATCTAAACGTAATTAATTAATCGATACGCAGATATCCACATTTAACTGGACTTATGCCGGTATATGTAATTCAATTACATAGGTACATATATTGTTTGTAGAATTACGGAGCAAAACTTACCCACATGAATTTTAAAGCAATCAATTTAAATCCCTTTTCTTCAAATCTTTTGATTATTTTTCCAACAATTCCGCGTTGGACTCCGTCAGGTTTAACCATAATAAAAGTACGTTCACGTGCGGCCGCCATTGCTTCGGAAAATAAAGAGAAAAAGGCTAGCACAGTACCAATCATAAAATAACTTTATAGAAGCGGAATGTAACGAATGGAAAACGAAGTTGGCTGAGGTTGCCAAAACGAGTATTAATTAACTACAATAAATGTAAGGGTTTAATAAAAGTGCTACCACGGCGAAAATATCTGCACTACTTTATAACGATGAAAATAAAGCGTTAGAGAGAGAGAACCATAAAGAAAAACATTTACCGCATGATGATGACGTCACTTACCACCACGACTGACCGGCTACCGGTACACTGTCAGAATCCAAGGAATTGATACTGAGCTACTGTCATAATTAAAATATAATTTGTGTTTGCGGATGAGCGAAATTAAGAATTATCTTGTATTCGATACTTTTGAAAACGTAAGTTTGCGAAATTGCTCGTATTTTTAATCCCATGTTAAATTAATTACAAATAATGCAGTAATTTAACATTTTAAGACCAAAAATTTCCATCGTCTCAACCAATCACAGACAATGAGTGAAACGGCAGATGTTTCTTTAGAGTTCCATTATGCGCAAGTCTGTTTTTGTGACTTGCCGATTTTGTTTGTGGTTTTGTTCTGGAGTCTCGCGTAATTTTGTTGCGAAAAATCAATTTTGTGTGGCGTTTGTTGGCTCTGATTCTAAAAAAATGTTTTGATAATGCAGGGACAACAGCACAGTGCAAACCAAAAAAGTGTTAATCAAGTTCCTGTAAATTTGGGGGCCAGTTTGAAGGAAAATAATCACCAGTTATTATTAAAAATGAATGATCTTCAGCAATTGTCAACAGTAGGTGAGTTAACTTTCGCCATATTTTTTTTTAAGAATTAAGCACTAATCAAGATCACGGTTTTATTTTATGATAGGCTTATTAGAGCTAGCTCATCGTGAATATCAAGCAGGAGATTATGAAAATGGAGAACGACATTGCATGCAGCTTTGGCGACAAGATCAAACAAATACAGGAGTCCTTTTGTTACTCTCTAGTATTCATTTTCAATGTCGGCGATTAGACAAATCTGCACATTTTAGCACATTAGCAATCAAGCAAAATCCACTTCTAGCTGAAGCATACAGGTAAGATTTTTTTAAAACGTAATATGAATAATGGTAGTCAGGTCATCCCTTATGTGTACATTAATTCTTCATACTTAAAATTAAAATCGATGAAATTAAATAATTTTAATTATATCATGGCATTGTTTCACCCATTTTTATATAATAAAGTGGTTCACTTACCTGTAGCAAACATTCTTTGTGCTTAAAAATAATTCAACAAATAGCTATTCAATAATATGCCAAACTATAATGGAGTTCAAGCAATCTCAGTATAACCCTGACCCTACTTGACTTATTAGTAGCTACTAAAAGTTACAGTATCATAACAATATGATAAATAATTATAGTTATTGTCTTAACACGATAAAAATACTAAATAATTGTTCTTGTAATAACTTTGTTGGAAAATTAGGGTTAATTGCTTCATTAATGTTGCTGATATGTATGAAGAATTTTATTTTTAATTTTTAAATGTCTTGTGTCTATTATTGTATGAACATTGACGTAATAACTTAAAAAAATCAATAGAAACAAATATTTAAGAACACAACATACATTAACTTTTATAATGTAGGTAAATACGTACCTATTTCATTTATGTATTATGAAATGAGAGATAAATGTAACTGTGTGTACTTGTAAATGTAGATGTGAACTTTGACAATTTTGAACTGAAAAGTCCATACATATTTTAAAACATGAAGGAAATAATAACAGTACTGTTACTAATTACTGACCATATAAATACTGTAAATAATTTTTTAATAGATTTTGACTTTAAGTAGTTAAATATTATTTTCATTTGTTAAATTTTATTAATTTTTTCATTATACCTATTGCTTTGTAAATTTAATAGACAAAGCCTCTCTTACTCTAAATTTAAGCAATTAAAATGCATGAGTTTTGTATTTTGTTTTCATTGGATTTCATACTGAAGAAGATAAGAATGAATGTATAAAACAAGGTAAATTCCAAAGAGTGCCTCACTTGGGGACTTGTGTAG